ACTGAAACTGCTCTAGCCAAGACTACCAGTGAGCATTGAACTCTGAACTGCCTAAACCCAAGATCTGTTCCCAGTTCCACTACTTAATCTATCAGCTGTGCTAGGCAAGGCTGACCCACCTCCTGGAAATACTTCCCTCACAGGGCTTCCCCCAGGGCAGGCAGCCCTTCTCATCATTCTGCACCTGTCCTCCCCAACCCCCTGACCTCCCACCTCTGGGTCTAGAGGGTGTTCCAGGTCGGCACCTGCACCTCTTCCCTTTCTATCTTCACTCCTCTGGTGAGCTCGTCCAGTGTCATGGTTTGGGATAGCATTTAATGTCATCCAACTCTCAAAGTGCTATCTCCAGATTATTTTTTTTTCCCCAAAGAAAAGCAGACTTACACATCAGACTGCACAGTGCTTAAAAAACATTTGTTTTTTGTTTTTGCTATATGGTGTGTGAGCTCCTGGAGAGACACAGAGAGAGACGGTAAGAGGGAAAGTGAGAAATCACCCCCAAGGTGACTGGTCATGCCACAATCCCTTCTCCATTCTCTTCTCAAGATTTTGGGTACACACACACACACACACACACACACACACACACACAATGTGTTTTTCAAGCCACTCGGTCTTAGACTATGCAGTCAGCCATGTGGGATCCAGCCATCGGAGCTACCATGCCACCGGCTGGTCCTTAAAAAGCATCTCAATGTGTTCAAACTGAGCTCCTGGCACCTCCTGCCCCAAGCCCACACACCTCACTCCAGTAAACTGCCCTTCCGGGAACCTGGGCCAAAAATGTCGAGTCATACTTGAGTCTTCTCCCTCACAGGTCCCTTCCAAGCCATGGGAAAATCCTCTAACTTTACATTCAGAACTCGATTTCTCCCGACTGCCCCCGCGCTGCTTTCACCCTCCACCCAGTCGACATCGTCACTCACTGGAATTACCCGAATACCGTCCTAAAGGGCCTCTCTAGTCCTGCCCTGGACCACCTTTGGTCTGCTCTCAGCCCAGCACCTTGAGTTCTACCAGAGCATTCAGGGCTGAAAACCCTCCAATGGCTCCCATCCCCCTGAGTCAACGCCTAAGTGTTACGATGGCCGTCAGGGCCCTCGTGACGTGTCCACCACACCCCTAACTCAGCTCTGCCCGTCCACTCCAGTCCCCGCACCCTGGCATTTCCCTCGGTACGTCAGGGGCTCGGCAGGCCCTCTGTTCCTCTCCCTGAGCCTGCAGCTCCTTCCTTTGCTGGTCACACCAATCCTCCAGCACCGCCTTGTCTGTGGGGTCCTCCCTGGCCGTCCATCCACTGCAAGCTGCAGCCTCTGCCCTCCCGCTCCCTGTCACTCATTTCAGCAGG